TTGTCATGTAAGGGAAGAGAAAAAAAAAGATGCTAACCATGTGCACTGCAATTGCTTGTAATATGCTACAGAAATCACTTTCCCAGTACCTTGGAGTCTTTCAATTTCCTCCCTCTTTAAGGTTTAAACCCTGCGAGTCCCCCTGGTGGCAGCAGGCTGGGGGATGTTTCACTCCCCACTGAGGCCTGGGGAGCAATGTGTGGCCCCTGCTTTCTGTTTTTGTCTTTTTTTCCAAGTCTTCCAACTTCTTATATCTAGTGACCATTAAGTGAACTAATATAGTAGCATTGAAGCTGCAGGGAAAGAAATGCAAGTTTTATGGAAGTGAGGTTTACTGCAGATAGATTTTAACATGAGATGAAAGGTCTTATATAAGTACAGCTCCAGCTTGCAGTTTTTAGGTCTTTCTGCCAAATAGCTCTGATTTGGTTTTTCTTTTTTTCAGTGTTTGGATAGGAATTGTTTTGTATAACTGGATAATTGTAATAGACAAGGAATGGGGTGGGGAGTTCTAAATGCTTCATGCTATGCAAAAAGCATAATGATTTGTTTATATAGTAGACTAAATTATAAGAATTATTATAGGGTTTTCTTCTTTGTTATCTTAAATGTATTTGTGACATTAAGTACTCCAGAGTTTTGACTGATTGATCTTTAGTGGTGAGTAATCCTACTAATGTTAGAAAGCAGAGCAGAGACATTTTAATTAAAAAAATTTGGAACTATTTATATGTTCATTCAAAGCACAAACAAGAAGTGCCAGAATAAGCTTTCAAAAAGGAAGTTCATCAGAAAAGAAAAATAATCATTGAAATATTCCTTTGTGTAAAGCAGTATCTGCTACAAAGCAGTTTGCACCTCTTATTTGAAATGGAGGCAGTGTAAGACTGTTGTCTTACGTAGAATAAACTTCTTATATATATTTGTCAGTCTTGGCGTAGCAGTATGTAGACTGCTACTTAAAAGTAATTTGTTTTAATGTTTGTGGGGTGCTTTTGATTGGTTGGTTTTGGTTAATGTTTCTTACGAAAGAATACTTTTTAGAGAGAGAATCTGCAGCAACTTTACATATAAAAGTAGAATGGTCAGTAGACAGGAGCATAATTTTTTGTTGCTTTTTTCCAATAAATGTTGGCTTCTTATCTTAGAAAGTTGTGAAATATGTTAAAACTGAGTGTCAGACTTGCATCCTTGATTGGTGTTCTGGATGTTCCTATGGCTCTGGTTGAATCCTTCATGCACCAAACCAACTTGAACTATTTACTACTGGATGACAAACAGTAGCCCAGCATCAGATGAGTAGCATGTCACTGATTGAGGTTTTTTTTTTTAGTTAAACAACTTTACCCCTTCAGCAGTTTGAATCTTGACTAGTTTCTGGTAGAAACTCTGTCTCTACTGAAAGAGACACTAGAGACATTGGAAAGGGTCTCTGCCCCTTCAAGATTGGTTTGCAATAGCTTTAAGAGGTTGATAGACGACAATTCTTATCTCTTGTTTCCAAAGAAATATCAGCTGAATTTTCAGTACCCGTAAATTCAATGTGGGAAATAAGTGTAAATGCTTAGAAGTATTTTTCAGCTGCTAAATTAAATACAGATTTATTTTTCTTAGGATTCTATTACTTGCTTAGAGTAACTGATTTTATATACCTGGCCTCCATTGAGTGAAATCCTATGCATTAGGAAAAGATATGTTATTGCATGTACTATTAAATATGAGATAATAAATATTCAAAGCTGAGAAGATTAAATCCATTATTAGTTAGGTGACTTGTATGTTTTTCTTTATATCCCTCTTTCCTGAGCAATAAGATAGTTCTGATGAACTAAAAATTAAGGGTTTTTAACAAATTAGGTTTTTAAAACAGAACTCTATCTCTAGTGTTCCTCTTGGACATTCTTTTATTCTCTGATTTCATTTCACACTTCGGTCTTGTTATTAAGGTATCATGATTTTCAGTTCTTGGTTGTTGGATTTTCTACTTTTTTCCCAGTGTTTACGTTCTGTTTTACGAGAAACATACGCTCTCTTTGCATTTTCTCATAAACTGCTAAAATTTCCCTTTAAAATAATACAAATGAGCATGTAAATATTGAAACTTAATTTGGCTTTTTGATAATAATTAAGACTCAGGTAATTGTGCACTTTTAAAAATTTAGGGTTAATGTCTATGAAGGTGCATGTGATGAGCATGTGTAGTGAAAACTTCTGATTAAGTATGCTGCAGCAGATCTGTGAAAACAGCTGTCAGCTGGTGTTGTGATGGCAAAACCTTTAAAATCATTACATCAAAAATTAAGTGTTCTTGCTTGTCTTGTAGCTGTTGGGTAACAAGGGTTGTAGCTAAGTCCAGAGGCGCTGAGTGTACAGAGACCTCTGGCCTTTGATTAGAGAATTCAGATTTCCTAAGAACGGTAGAAGATTAAGAATGGAAAGATCAGCTTAAATACATTCCCTCTGTTAGTATTTTTTTTTTTTAATTTTAAATAAAGCACATCAATGGATTTAATCTTGACATAGCACAAAATTAGCCTTGAAGATAATTTTCTGCATTGAAGCTGGTCTGTCCTTAGCATTGAGGGTTTATATAAATGAGTGCAAAATGGTTAAGTGGCTGCTTATGCCCCTGGCACTTCTGCCCTTCATCACAGAAGGATCCATTTTTATATAATGAATTTAGTTTGGTGACAAAGGGGAAAATTAGGGATAATCGGTGTTTGATTGGGGGAGAGAATATGGCAAGATTTATGATGCAAATACTGGTAACTTAGTATTCAGAGATGCTTTGAGGTAGTTAAAAGTAAGAGAAATTTTTAGAAAGTAAATGTAAAGTAGAAAAATAATCACATCTAACTGAAAATCTGATTAGATGACTGCAAATGGAACATAGTTTCAACTAATTGGTCAATTTGCAAGTTTAAAGCGAAGCTGGCGACAGTTGTTAAGATAGAAAAGCCTGTTGTGCTGATCTATTTTGTAAAGTTTGTGTGTGTTAAATGGTTTTTGTGGTGTCCTCTGCTTTTCAGAAGCAGACCACTTTGATTTGATAGTAGTTAGCACGTAACTGTTACATGCTTAATGTTTGAGACTCATTATTTTATTTCTACATTTAGAAACTGTCTAATACATTAAAAATATTTAAAAAAAACCCTTTAATGTTGCTGCTAATGTTTGATGATTTTTAACTTTATTTTTTTAGGGCTATATTTAAGTTTTGCTAATCATATGGCTTGTACAAGTTAATTTTCTGCCAGCATAAGAGAATATGAAGAAAACCTTGCTAAATTTAAAGTTTAATGTTGAGTTCCCCCACTTGGGAATGCGGTGAACTGCTGGAGCCAGTCATCATTTGTGTTCCAAGCACACATCTAATCAAATAGTTAGTTATCCATTTCTGTTAATGATGAACCTATGGTTTTTTTCAAGAGAAAGAATTTTCCTAATTCTTGATTCAACTGTTTTTCCCACTTTCCAAATGTTTTTAGGCTAAAGCACTACTAATTTACAATATTTACTCTGCAGCAAGTTTAACTTTGTTCATCTGGGAAGTAATTTCTGCTGATATATTGTATTTCTGTCTGTTATTGACATTTTGCATTATGGCATCTTTGCATTTCCAGGCTTCACATAAGGCTCCTTTATTGTAGAAAAGGGCAGTTGTAGTGCAGAGGAGCAGGCAGCCAGGCTCAAGTGCAAGTTTTTGACAAGTGACAATTGAATAAACAATGGCTGTAAAAAGAAGGGCTTGAATTTAAACTAACAAGAGTTGTAATTGAAACATAAAGTAAAAGCAAGCTAAAAATAAGAATGTCCACTCAATCAGTACTCATTTGACTGCAAATACGAGATGAAATTACTTTTCTGTATGGTTTGCTTTAAGCAGTGGCAGAAATAACTGTTGGAGCTTTTGCAATTGCTCATCATATAATGATATAAGGATGACAGTTGGGAGCAGGCTAGATGAAATATTGAAGAAATTAGCTGCTGAATGTCTCTGCTTAGTATTTTTGAGTGATGCATCTTGCAGAACCAACTTTTCTGTGAGAGTAGCACAAATTGATAACTGCTGTACATCTCACGTAGAACTGCAGTACTGGAAAAGTGACAATGAGTCACTCTTTAGTTAGAAAACTGTTTAATAAAGAACATAAAATGTACGATGGCTTAGGCAGATAAATTATTTGGTTTCAGTATTGACTTATAATGACAAGCCAGTTGTAATTTAAATGAGTAGGGGTTTAAACCTTTTCCCAGACTTCTGTGTATGTGGGAAGGGATGAATATCCAAGTATCTGGAATTGGAGCTCAGGGTGGATGTGAATGGAAAATAGCAAGTTTACAAAAACTTCATTATGTAATTCATAACACAAAGCTTTTAAAATTGTTCTTTGTACTGTAAAAAGGCTTGCTTTTGCCATGCTGTATTCTAATGAAATGCCTTCTGCTGAGAGATGACTTAAAGGATGAGCTCCCAGTGTTTCCTGCAAAGATTTTACATGCTGGCTGAGCTATATCTAATGTTTTGGATGCATAGCAAGTTACTAAAACTTTTGTTGTACTCAATTAATACTAGCCTGTTCCAAACTGATAAAAAATAAGGACATCTGTGAGGAATTGTTATTGAAGTAAAAAAGTGTACTGTCAAATTTATTTGTGCACAAATATTCCTAAAAATTATTGGTATATTTAGAATACTAACATTTGGAACATATCTCAAAGGTTTCAAATGTTCATTAAAAAGTTCAAATAGACATTGTAGCTGAAGCTGTTTCATTTAATAGCATGCGTGTTGGAGGGGAGATGAAGCCATTTTTTTTATTTTTATTTTTTCCAATTTTTTCAATTTTTTTTCCAATGGGAAACAAAGTCACTTGGGAAAACATTTTGGTTATTACAGATTGAGACAATATGTAATGTTAGGCTTGGCAAATATTTGCCTTCATTTTGGAAAGGGAACTGGCATTTATATTGTGCTTGTTTTTCTGCCACAGCGTAAAGCCGTCCCCGGCTGAAGGAGTCAAGTCCAATCCATCCAAGAGACACAGGGACCGCTTGAATGCGGAGCTGGACCGCTTGGCGAGCCTGCTGCCTTTCCCTCAAGATGTTATCGCCAAACTGGATAAGCTGTCTGTGCTCAGGCTTAGCGTCAGTTACCTGAGAGCTAAAAGTTTTTTTGATGGTAAGCACTGGGAATTTATTTGGGTTTGAACTGCTTATAAAACTCGGTTTATGCCCTATGTTGATTTCAGCTGTTTAAGTACTTAAAACTGTTAAATTTATCTGTGTTTTAATGGAACCTCCTGTTGTGTGAATGTATACAATGTAACTGTATAAAGTAAGCTTTCCACTTTCTTGAAACCAAATGTAACTACTTACATTTCACTTAGGTCACCAGTCATTCAAAGCTTTGCATTTGGAAGTAATATTGCCCTTAATGAGTCCTTCAATCCTTTTCATCAGACTGTCAAAGATACCCAAGAGACTTCTCTTTTCCCTCTGAAAATTGCCTTAGTAAAACTATTACTGTTTCAAAATATGTCATATGACTTCCCATCCAGCTGTATTTTGCTTAATGATGCATCAAAAATGACTTTGCTTTGATATAAAGTAATTGATAGTGCCCCTTTTGACAGTTTAGTGCAAAGGTGACTTGTAAAGAATAGAGACAAAATCTTTCCTGTGTCCATGCCCTGGTTAATACAGGACAATGAGGCATTAAAACGACAGCTAAGGTTCTCCAGTTATGTGGGCAGGTGTGCTCTGACCCCAGTCCTGGCAAGAGTAATAAAGCAGCACTCAGTCTTGTCATGGAGTCAGAAATGTGTGTCCTTGGTCACCTCTGAGCTGGCCAAGGTGTCCTGCTCCTCTCTCTCCTTCACTACCTGAGCTGCTCTGTAGGGTGTGATGCACTGGTTGGCTTTGTGCCAGTTCCTTCAAAGGCAGAAACAGTCTGATCCTATTCATTGTAGGGTTAAAGCAAGGAGCTGGTATTCAGTTAATTTTCCTGTTCTTTTAACAGTCACTGAGATTTTACAGTTATTATGTTGAAGAAGAAATCTTACTGATCAGATGTAGCAAAAGAATCTTGATTGCAATGGAGTGGATATTAAGTTTCAAGTTGTTTTTAAACTTTCTTTGATATTAAAATAACCCCTGTCCTTGTCGGTTTAAGATTGTCTCAGCCTCCAAAACATGGATGAAAGGATTAAAGAAACCTGTCTAAAATAGTTCCACTTTTTCCTGCAGGAATACAGAATGTTTATTTTAATTTATTGTGTCAACTGGCTTCAGTTTATTACTGCTTATGAATCTATATTCTGTTTTATTTCTTGAAGAATATATCCAAGTGTCTTGATTTCTGTGCTTGTTCAGGGCAATTCTTAGTATGAAGTCTAAGCTCTAAGCCTCGAGCTGGCCAAATATTTCTAGTGGTGCTTTTTTTAAATGCAAATATATTCTCCTATCAAATCAGAATTCTCTTGGCGCCTCAGTTTCATGAAAATCTTTGCTACATGTTATCTCAGGTAGACTGCTATAAAAGAAATTATTTTGCTTGTCTTTGTTCTCTTGGTGAATTGAAGAAGTTCTAGTCTCAATGAAATGTTTTTTGTTGTGGTTGTTTCAATTATGTTTTCTGAAATAATTCCAAGATTGGAAGTTTTTTCTTATTTGGGATGAAGTGAAAATAGCAAATCTTAATTTCTTATCTCAGTTTCTCATGCAAATGGAACTGCTTGATTTTTATTCTTCCTGCCTACTCCCCCACTGTTTGAAGGTCCTGGAATAAAGTTTAAGGCTATGATTTCTCTACAGGGAAAAAAAGAATTGATACGCTCAGCAGAAGTTGTCTTAATGGGTTTTGTTAGCAGAAAAAGTCTTTTTGCCACTTTTTTTCAGGCCTTTATGCTTGTAGGACTACAGGTTAGTATCAGTCTCCATCTGAGGGCATTTAAAGATGAACATTGATGACTTAAGTGAAGATAAACAAAAGAAACCTATTTATGACTACCAGATAGAAGAGTGAAAATTAGATCTTTTTACTATTTTCGTTGTCTTAAATCACATGGCATGTATTTCAGTAAAATTCACCGTCCAAAAGAAAAATTAGTCTTTGGAAGAACTGAATTAGCAAAAAACCTCTGAAAAGCCCTAGGTTTGATTTTTGTACTCTCCCTATGCAGTGCTTCTCAGAAAGGCTCTTTTGCAAGAGTGTTTGGTGTAGTTGGATATCTGCGGAAAACCCTGTAGAGAATAAATCTGACAAATGCAAGTAGGAGCACTGATTGTCACCTTGAGTGCCTAGACTGAGCCAGAGCTCCACTTCATTAACACAGCATGCTGAAGTAAAGGGAAACGCTAAATGAATAACAGGATGCAAATGGGGGGTGTGTAAATTCCTGCGGAAAGTAAAATATAAACGCGTAATCATATGATCTTGCTTGAAAGGAAACCCAAGGTTTTGCTGTAACAATAGATATTTTTTTCAAAGAAAACACTTGCATTTTTCCAAGTTTAAATAATCTAGAGAGAATGTCTGTTTTCTGAAGGCGGAAGTCTGGGGGGAGAAAAAGAACTGTTTCATGGAAGACATCTCAAAAAGTTACATCAGTTGAATAAATGTGCCTCACTTATATGTCTACAAGGTTTTTTTGGTGTTACTTAAAAGCTAAGTGTGTGCATATATATATATATAAAATTTATAAAACAAGAGAACACCATCAAAGAACACTTTCACTTGACCCTAGTTGTTAAGATGGTAGAATGGTACAGAATGTTCTTTGCAGCTAGAGTTTTTCTATAGGGTCTACTGAAATGGTAGACCTCTGCATGCTTGCCATATTAATATTGCCATATTTTAGGTTGTAGGAAATAGCTATATGGTGTAAATAGGTGTATGCATTTTACTCTTCCACAGCCTCAAAATATCTTCGTGTTGGTGATTGTATTCTGTTAAGCAGTTGCTTTTGATTGTTGTGTTTTGTTAATGAAGTTATTGCACTGCTAAGCGACCCTTTACATACGCTATAGTTCAGTGTGATCAGGGTAGTCTCAAATCCACATGATGTCAGCAAGCTTTCTTTATGTCCATGTCAGACACCCTGTCATGCTTTTATATGTACAAATTTGACCTTGACTCAAGAAGGAAATTGTAGTAGTGGATTAAAATAGTGAGTCTAAAGTCTGTTTCTTTATAAAGTCTTGTGTGGAAAGTCAAAGCTAAAAAGTGTTTTAGGGCGGTGTCACTTTTCAGCCATGCGCTTCTACCTGCTGTACTGAAGTGGATTAACAGTCCTCAAAGTCAAGCAGGTTAGCTTAAATCACTGCTGGAGTGTTTATTTTGTGCATGTAAGATACTTTCTGCAAGTGGCTTAAGGCAAGCTTTTTATTTTTAAGAGACTGTGATGAAACAGGCAAGTGTCTGCTGACAATCAGTAAAGACTTTGTGTGTTTTCCTGGTATTATTTCTGTTCATTTTGCTATTAAGTGGCCATGCGTGTGTGCATTCAGCAGTGAAAAATATAAAGTAGAATGTGGGACAACAGCTCTTTGTGTGAATGCAGGTTAGTGAGAGCTCAGCATCTGGAGCACAACTGGACAATCATTTAGGCATAGCCTATATCTCCCATGCATACTAAAAGAAAAAGCTCTTTTGCCTCTAGCTTTGGTCCTTATATGATGAATTGATAACCACTTAAATGCTTTAGTGTGGTAAAGAAAAGCATTTATAATTTTTCTTCTTGGAATTTTGGTGAAACAGATTAAAGGATTAGAAGTAGAGTTTGTATGACTGATCACCTTTTTCATGTTAGGGACATGATTTTTCTTTTTAAAGGTGTACAGAGAATAAAGGAGACTCTTGCAGAATCTAAAATGAGGTAGCTGTGCTATGTGTGCATATCAATACATTAGAAACAAAATTCAACATGTTGCTTATTAATTGTCCTTTCATCCATTTCACTAAGAATTCATGTGGTTTAAAGTATGTGGGGCTTTTTTCCCTTCTTGCTTATTGGGCAGTATTCTGAATTTATAGAAGAAAGTTTCTGCTCAAAATTAGTTTAGAATTGGTTTCTTATGTGGGATGCTAGTGATTCTGGCAAGCACAGCAATAACAAAATAATTAAGATTTTTTTTTTTTCCACTAAGTTTGCACTGCCTTTTTTCTTTAACTTTGTAATATAATTAACACACATTCCTTGGCATTGTATGGCTTGAATTTGCAGTGCAGCCATTGTCATTGCATAAAATATATTTTTTGATAATGTGTTTCTCCTGTCATGCCCACTGTTCTATCATAGTGTATGCTGGAGAGAACAGACTGCATGAGGTTCCTGTTCTTGAGAGTATGGCTAAGATGTAGAAATGGGAAGGACTGGCAAAGTGAGAGAAAATGTATTTATTCTATCACACTGAGAAGGGCAGAAACATATTTCCAGTCTAGCAGATAAAGATAGCATTTCTGCCAAGCGGCAGGTGGCAATCTGGAACAGAAACCTGAAAGTGTGAAAGCTATTAAGACACAGCCCAGTAGGACCAGGATAATACAGTAGCTCTGTCCTGACTTTTATTTTAGACAGTTACCACCTTTGCCAACTGTGTCTGTTTAATACGGTTTTCCTCATGTATTTTTGAAAGCGTGACTTCCCTTTCATGTTACCTCCTTTCCCTGCTCCTGTTGCTGCATACATAGATACTTGACCTCCACACTGGGAAAAGCTGAAGTCCTGTAGAGCAGCAGAGTTAGGCTGCACTTACTGCTTTGGAGTGTTTATGTGCATGCTGCATAGGAATTTGCTGCTGCCAGCAGCTTCTAGTGGGTCTGGCTAGGATTACTTGATTCATGACTGTCTTGTGCTGTTTTTCTACACCCAAGGTAGAAAATACTCCATAGCTTGGTTGTTCTCTAATTACCTTTTCTGTGTCTGTGCATACCATGCACATGAATTAATTTTCACAGTTTTGAATGAAATTCTTTGAATCTTGTCTGAGAGTTGGAGGAAAAAAAAATATTTGGGAAAAGAAGCCCTAATCCAAACAAACCAACTCTTTCCTTTTGTACTGTCTTACCCCCCCACCCAAATCCAAAATTAATACAAAATGCAAACCTTGGAACCGTATAGTTATTTCAGTATCAGACCATTCAAGTTATTTCCTAATCCATGCTGGTTCTTTCACTGC